TTAAAGGCAAGCAGTGTAAGTACCTGCTATTAGACTCTTGTAGTCCCTGTACAGCAGAGCTGGATTGTGAGAGGAAGAAGCATTACAACGAGCCAATCAGTTCATGTGCTCACAGGTAGCATTCTAATAGGCAGAGAAAGCAGGGGGACAGAGAGATGAGCTCATCACTGTGCTTCTTTTCCTTTGACTGCCCAGTCACTGTAATGCCGCCGACGGGGCGGCCTCTTGTTCGTCTGCCGCGGTCCTCTGCGTCCCACCGTGGAACGCGGAAGCCGCACGAACTCTGGGTTGTGACGCGGCGGCTGCGTTCCACGGTGGAACACGGAAGTCGTCCGGACCGATCAGCGGTCCCTCCTCACTTCCTGGCCCTATTTAAAGGCACTGATGAGGCAGCATGGCGTTCTGTGATTGTTGTCTGAACGCCTGCTGCCTCTCGAACCTGTATATGAGACTGCTACCAACCGGACCCTGCTCATCCCCCAGCTGCCATCTGGAAGACGGACCTGCTCAGTTCTGCTACTGGAGTCACCTGGGAGTCTCAGCCATCATTCAGCTACTGCAAATTGCAAGTACCCTATCTGTGAGAGAGCACCTCTCCTCTGCTGCCTGCAGGCTGATATGAACTGGGTATTAGACTTACTGAGTATCCGCTTTTAACCCAGCCCCAACCGCTGCATTCTAGTATTTCAATTGCCAAACCACAGTCTATGACGCAATAGTACTGTGTTGAATTGTGTTGTTTTTTCCTTTGATCACGTGATGGTAGAATCTCAAACTCACCGTTGAGATTGTGAGTGACGCCTGAGATTCGTATCTGATTGATCCTATTACTCCGCAGTTGTGATCCTACTATTGTAAATACTGCAGACGTGACAGAATCACAGAATCCGATAAAGATGGATCCAGCGGAACTCGCTAGACATATGGTTACTTTATCCCAGAGAGTCGAGACCCTATCCACCTCTATGCAGGACCTGCAGGTAGAGAACCAAAGATTGCGTACTTTGGTTAACCAAAACGCAGGAGCTGCACCTCCTAGAGAGGGACCTGAACCCAAGGTCTGTGCCCCCCCGAACCTTTTTCCGGGGATAGGAAAACTTTTCGCCAATTCATGAGTTCATGATAGAGGCGCATATAACTTGATCAGGATGCGGGAAGGGGATGAGTGGAAGACAGCATTCAGAACCAGATACGGGCTGTTCGAGTACATGGTAATGCCTTTCGGACTGTGCAATGCCCCGGCGACGTTCCAGCATTTCGTTAACGATATTTTTCGAGATCTGCTGGACGTCTGCATGGTGATTTATTTGGACGACATTCTGGTGTACTCAGACAGCCCTACCGAACACAGGAGGCACCTGAGATGGGTGTTGTCCCGTCTTCGGGCCCACTCCCTTGTGGTTGTCTACGAGAAATCTCCGCCTTAACGTGCCCGCTAGAAAACTGGGTCGACTGTACATCGGCCCATTTCCCATAGAGAAAGTCCTGAATCAAAATGCGGTACGCCTGTCTGTGTTGAATTGTGTTGTTTTTTCCTTTGATCACGTGATGGTAGAATCTCAAACTCACCGTTGAGATTGTGAGTGACGCCTGAGATTCGTATCTGATTGATCCTATTACTCCGCAGTTGTGATCCTACTATTGTAAATACTGCAGACGTGACAGTCACAGGCGTGGGGTGGGTCCAGGATGACTTGGGCTCAGAGGAAATGGATTGAATGATATTGGCATCAGACTGAGGACATCTAGTGCCAGAATAAAAGGTACTACGAGGGAAATCTCTAAACTGAAGCTGAATATTACAGCAACAGGTGGTTTTGTTTAGTTTATCTTTTATTGGGTTATTGATTTTTATCTTGTTATTTTTGGAGTTCTTCTTTTCTTGCCTAATTACAGGCTGGGTCAGGAAAGTGACCTAGCTGTATTACTTAAAAGTATTATAGAAAAGCCATGTCACACTGCCTGTGCTGTCTGCCAGGGCTGTGTACCCTTGGGTAGGCAAAGCAGCCCCCCATATATCTACTTCATCTGTGGATTCCGATGCCTCTCTGGAGTTCAACTGTAAATAAAAACAGCGACAATTAAAGGCCATGTCCAGGCAAACAGAAAGTACCCTTTCAGTGGGGCTACACCTCTGTACTACAAGAGTTAAGCTCTCATTTTTGTCTTGAGTCTGGAGTAAGCAGATTTACTTACTTGAACCGCTTAGGGTATGGTTGGGATTAGGTACCAGACTTGCAAGGAATAATGATCTGGCACAAACCCTTCCTGCACCATTATTGTTATAGTTCCCATCCCTTCAGTGCAGTGCCTGCAGGTTTACCACAATGGTTACGTATTTTGCAGTACACATAACCATGAATATTAAGGATGTGGTGAGAGTGACTAAAGACATCAGAAAATCCTCCAACCTAATTAGTGCATATCTCAGTAGAGCCTTCTTAGAGTAGAAAGTATTCATATGTTTTGTTCCATCACATATCCTAAGATAAGAGGATTATTCCTCATTTCAGGAAAGTGGGTGGGGCCATGCAAATCATTCCTTTTCTCCTCAATGGCCAAATGGAGTAGAGCTTTTGATCCAGCAAGCAAGGTAATGGTTAAACATGCTTACTGGGTCCCAATCTCTCCTCCATAGAAGCCATGGTTTCCATAGTGTGCATTTATGATAGCCAAAATGTCCAAAACATCTGTATACAGTTTGGAATAAATGGCTGTATAATATTAAGCTTTATCTGTACTATAAACCATTCTGGATGTACACTTAAAATTAGGAATAATTATTTTAATTTAGGGATATGTGATAGAATTAGAATGTGAATCTACAAAGGCTCCACTATGGCACACAGTACACTTAAAAAAAAGGCTAAGTCCCATCACCTCCTTCTCATTGCGCCTCTGGGACACTCATAAACGTACCGCTGGCCTACTCTCTCCACACCTACCTATGCTTTCTTTCCTCCGTAATCCCGACTTCCCACCTGCACAGTCTAGCCCCTCATGCTTCGCCATTTGGGTGGACAAGGGCCTCACGCACCTCTGGAAATTCCAGACGAAGTCAGGAGTGAAACCCTTCCCGTATTTACAGGAACACTACGCCCTTCCGCCCAAAGAGATTTTTCGATACTTACAAATCAAGAGCTTCATTCAACAAAGCACACGAAATTGCCCCTCAACGGACACCTTAAGCACCTTCGAAAAAATATGCCGTGATAATCCCCATGCTCCAGGCACAATCTCTACCATCTACTTGTCCCTCTTACTACAGAAAAGCCCTACTCCCCCTTCATATACCAAACAGTGGGAACGGGACCTGGGATTTCCTATTGAAGAAGTCATGTGGCACAATATCTGGGTGAACACAAAGTCTAGCTCTAGATGCTCTAGCATGCTAGAGATCAATTATAAGGTTATAATGCGCTGGTACCTTGTGCCAACAAGGGTTGCCAAGTTCAAACCTACTGCCACGCCGCTCTGCTTCCGGGGATGTCCTGAACGGGGCACATTCCTTCACACATGGTGGCAGTGCCCGACGGTCTCTAACTTCTGGGACAGAATCTTTTCACTACTCTCATCAATACTGCAAAGGCCCGTCCCCAAAGACCCCACACTCGCGTTACTAAACTACAAACCCGAGGGCCTTTCCAGAACAGCATTCAAACTATCCCTCCACGTTCTATCGGCTGCGAAAAGAGAAATAGCGCAATCATGGTTAACAAACAAACTAAGTGTCTCCAAGGTGAAAAGGCATGTCAATTGGATAATGTCCCACGAGAAACGGACGGCCCAAATCGAACTCACCATGAATAAATTCGAGAAAATTTGGTCATGTTGGTCAGAAACAAATGCACCGTCTGATACCCACCGCCAACTGCTCCTCATATGATGGGACAAGCACATTAACCACCTGAGAGGTGAATGTACTCTAGGGATCCACCTGACTCCCCCCCTCCTCAACTCACTCTCTTCTTTCTCCTCCCTTCTTTTCTCCCCCTTCCCTCTCCCTATCTCCCCCACCCCCTATCTTTCATAGCATTCTGTCGCATCGATAGTGGGACGCACTGCAGCCCACCCTGAGAGCGGGACCCCCTTGGTCGTGCTCATGGGAAGCCTCTTCCTTCCCTAGAAGGAAGCCAGACCCTGAGAGCTTCGCATTCGCCCACCCGGTCTGTCATTTTAATATCTACCTCACAGGTAACACCCATGGGTCCCCATTTCTGGCCTATTTATCCTGCCTTTTTAGAATGTTTTGATTGGCACTTAATACAGTCTAAGAAAATTAGTAATAACCCTATACTATTATGCTCTATGTTATAGGTAATCCTGTACAAAGTATAGTATTATTTGACTGTCAACCTTATGTTTTTCAATAAAAAAAATTATTTGATAAAAATAGTCAGGGAGAGGGTGAAAAGGAAATAGGAAGGGGAGACAGGGAGTGTCTAACTAATGGCTGTACCAAAATACATAAAAAATGATTTCGCTGCTGAAAAAAAAAAAAAAAAAGGCTAAGTGTATGCGTTCATAGGAGAGAGGCACTTAGAACTTTTCTTGTGTTTAATTTGCCAATCTGCCTTTAAAAAAAAATTCTGAGGTTAAAATTGATGAGGTTAAAAGTGAAGCAAGGATGAAGATGGCAGCCTAAAGCTCCAACTTAAAAAAAATAGTCAGCTGTATGCCCATAATCCTATCCCGATTTGGTTTAATAGATACTTGCCCTTAAAAATGTCTTTGGTGGACATGTAATAAAACTGGATACAACTTTGCAATGATGTTTATAGTATTTGTCCTGTAAATGTAGATCTATAGCATTGTAAATAATCTTGCAATCAGTTTCTACAAAGAAATATTACACACAGTTATAGTGATGCTGTACTTTTTGGACCTTTCTTGACTCCTGAATGAAGGCCCATCAAATGACAGCTACACATTTATAGAGCAGGCTGAATAAGGTAATACTGTAAAATCCCAGCAAATAATGAGTTAGATTTGTTACAAACCTGCCAGCTTTGGTTATAATCATTTCAGTTCCTGCTTCATGAAACTTCTTCCACAGTTCCTTCTCATGAAGGTATACTTTGATATTTTCTATTGTCTGCAAGTTGAAAATGGACAATGGATGTTAGAAATGCTAATAGTTTTCAGTGCCGTAGAAAGAATATACATTGTCAGTTGTAGCACACCAAAAGAAGGGGAGTTTTAATCTTACGGCCCTGTCACACCCATGTGCATGCAATATGTGCTTATGAGTACTGCAATTCTTTTTTTTTCATGCACTAGCACACATTTATACATACTTTCAAAGTATACATTTTGTTTATATGAGGTGGAAGAGATAGAACAGAGGTTTTCAGTCTGAGCTTCAGCATGGGCTGATATCCATAGACGACTTGCTCACCATGCTTGCACCATAGTGCATTGTGGTGCATCATGTTACAAATTGTGTGGCGCATATACGATTTTTGGGATGTTTTATTGTGCTGGTCTCAACACAAAACAAAACACAAAAAGATCCCCAGCACACCTGCCAGCTAGCCTGCAACAAAACAAATAGCCCTGTCTAACAGTATGCGTTAAAAGCAGAGGTTTTAGTTGCACAAACACTTGGCCAAAAATATGTGGAAGCCACACTGCCAACGTCAAGGCACCTCTGCAAAGTGTGATCCTAACTCTATTAGTATGACTCTCCAAGGGGGAGCATATTAATACAGTCGATAAATTAGATGCAGGTGTACCTGGAGGCTACCCACTCCTCTTCAGAAGGTGCAGGGACACACCTGAGGCCCAGCAATAAAAAATGTGCGCCAAATGGCCAAATGTTTGTGCAACTAAAACCTCTGCTTTTAACGCATACTGTTAGATAGGGCTATTTGTTTTGTTGCAGGCTAGCTAGCAGTGTTTTGTATTGTTGTCAGCCTTCCCATGTGCACCCTGCTACATAGGCTGGTTATAAATTTTATGCAGTTACCATCTTTTTCCTGGTCTCAACACAATGCCTTAAAACAATGCACATGAATACCTGACATAACATACGTTAATGCACATGCATTAGCGCACAACAAGAATGTAAATGGGCTTAAAGTGTATGTAAAGATATTTGTTTATGTTTTGAATAGAATATGGGAGGGTTAGACATTATGTCATGTTTTTATTGACGTGTCCCCACTGAAGAGGTTCACCCCTCTCTTTATCCTGGTGACCCTTCTCACCAAGACAGAAAGTGAGGGGAATCTGAGTTGTCATAAGAGCAAGAGGTAAAGGAAAATCCTGTAATGGGGATCCCTGTTCCTATGACAACTCCCTAAAATGGGAATTCAGTTCCCCCCACCCCCCCAAAAAAAACACCTGATAGGGTTTTCTAGAGGCCTAACTAGAAACTTCAGGGCCCCGGTGCAAGAAACCACGATAAGCCCCGCCACCGACCATAAAAATCATACAAAATTTCATTACATACAATTTAAGGGCCCATTTACATTCTTGTGGTGCGATAATGCATGCCTGTTAACCTGCACTATGTCAGGTATTTCCCCCCCCCCCCCCCACCCCTCCTTAAAAAAAAAAGCATGATTTTTATACTTTTTTTTCAATAAGTAATTGTTATAAATGTCTGCTGTTACAGGCAAAACTAAGCCTATTGTTACCAAAATGTGTCATGCAATTACTGTAAAGCATGGTTCTATCACTGGCAGAATTACCAGGGTCGCATCGGTCCAATGTGTATATTTAGGAATCCTAAATATAGTGCTTGCACATTAACCCTTCTACTGCCAAGGTTTTTTTTGCGTTTTTTTCCCCACACATGTTATAATCCACATTTTAGGCCTACAAATTACTTAAAACCCCCAAAACATTATACATTTTCTGAAAGCAAAGACCCTGTAGAATAAAATGATGGCAGTTATAAATGTTTACACGATAAGAGCGCAACTTATTATCAAACCCAACATTTTAGTAAAAAATACACAAGCTAATTTTTGTGCCCAGAAAGATAATACCATATTTTAATAAAAATATAAAAGATGAGGTTACAATGAGTAAATAGACACCCAACATGCTCAGGTTACAAAATTTAAAGCAAACGTAAAACTATGACAAAATACAGTACCCCAAATTTTCCATAGGCGATGCTTTAACATCACGTACAGCTCATCAGTTTAGAGAGTTAGAGATATCCATGATTATTGGCTCTGGAATTATTGCTCTCACTCTGGCGCGCACAGCGACACCTAACATGTTTAACACGATCGTCGTTTTCATATGTAGGTGCACCCGATGCATACGTGATTATGCGCACGATTGCTATTTTTTTAACTTTTTTTTTTAACTTAACTTATTTGCTATTACATAAGGGGGCCCTAAGTGACATCACTTTGAAGGTGACAGGTTCTCTTTAAGGTGATATTAGGGGTCAATTAGACTCCTGGGGGTTGATTTACTAACCTTATAAACACACCACGAACGTGTATACACCTCTGCAGTGTGTTCCCTCCCAGCGTGATCTATGGGTGGAATCTAAACACCTTTGTAGTGTGTACACACCCAGCAGGTGTGTTGTGCAAAGCCATGAAGGAATTCCAAGGTGATGTTGGGTAAATTAGCTCTATGTTGTGTTGCTTGCGTTGATGAATGCAAGGAATGTAAATGCATGAGCTAACCATTTTTGTCTAAACTGTGAAGCAGCATTATATATGCATCATGTGCATGATTTTTCCATATATGGCATTAGTGGAAATATGCTTTTAGAGACTTTTTGGTTGATAAATACGTTTTGCTGTGTGAAAATCACACACACCTGGTGTGTGTGTGTGTTTAGGTTAGTAAATCACCCCCCTAGTGTCACCTTTCCACTCCAAAGAAGCTATTGGAGCACAGACTGTTGCAAATTGCCAACATTTAAAAAAAAAATATTTATACAGTTCCGTATTCCTGCACAGCCTCACCACCATCATGCAATTAATAATATCCAATTGTAACATTTCACATATCTCAATGTATGTAGGGGAGGCAGGAAATTAATTTCATGAATGCGTTCACATTTTCAGTGACAGGGTGGACATCTATGGTGTACAAATATAAACCATTAACAATCACAACATATTTCTGACTTATGTGAACATTCTCGCAAGATTTCCTAATTGAATAAAACAATCAATAGGCTACAGTATATGTGACGCATACCATAGATGTGCACATGAAAAGTGTTGGACTACATACATTGAGATGTGAAATGTAACAATATATAACAATATATATAGAGTATTAATTACATGATGGGGGTGAGGCTGTTAATAATTTGTGTATGCCCTAAAAGTCCCAAATACATTGTGAAAATTGATATGAAACTTTTGTGACAGGTTTAGCATTCACCACACTTTTTTAATAAAAATATGACATACAACATGATTGCCTGGATTCCTTTATTGAGTGATTCTCCATAGATTAGACATATCTGGATGCACATATTTAAGAAAATAAAAGCACAATCATTCAGTGACTCTCCTGATTCAGTCTTACTTGATTCTGTGCACTACATACATATTGAATTCTCCCAGATATTGCAATTCCTGCTTGTGTAATTGGCTCACTGCTTTTGCCAGAGCCACAGGTCAAATTTCCAACATTCTGTGCAGCAGGAGTTTCCCTTTTTTGGGGGGTGAGAAACTCTCCAAGGTTCATCCTACCCGTAAGGGATGCAGCTTTTCTTATTACAATGCTGAGATTGCTCAGGTTAGTATAAATAAGACAGAGAGAGGTAAAATAAACAAAAAAATGGGTTGTTGACATCATTACAATGCATAGTTCGCCTGAAGGGGAATGGCGTTTTTTGTCGTCTAATGGAATCACTTTAAAGGGCATCTTTCAATAAACATAGACTCCATCTTGTAGGCTACATCTTGTGCACTGCATTTACAGTATATCTTTGCATTGGGGCTTGGGCTGCATTTCTTTTTTATGTGCATGATTGCTGTCAGTATTTGTACCTATGTTTCTCCATTACATTCTTTTATTGACAAAATGTGAATACATATAACAAGGAAGATGCAAGAATGTTGTTCCACTGGGTGACACATTTTACATTAGCTGCCTTTCAGTACAATGTTAGAATGATAAATCGAAAATTGAATTTGTTTTTTAGTTCATGTGCACATACAAAATAATATTTATATTGTCTCTCTATAACTGCCTAAAATTAAAGTTGTGTAGTGTTTCCAGGAAAATAATTCATTTTGGAAAATGTAAAATTAATTTAATCTGCAGGCTGCAGATGACATGGCTGGTTACCAATACTGTAGTGATTTTATGGGCAGATGTATAGCCTCTTAAACATCTCAAGCCTTGTAAATAATTGTTCGAAGATGGGCAGATGTCATGTCTAGCCACCCTAAAATGATTATCTGCATTAACATTCAGTACAAAGAGACTCCCATTTACGCAATTTCTGATATACATTGAATACTGCTATGTCATTAGAGACAATATACACCCTGAGTAGCCGGTCACATTTGAATAATCAGCATTCAGTACACATTTTTACCCATTACAATAGATTGTAGAGGTATGGAGTATGATCTATAGAGACTTATCATTGAAGTATCTAAAGCCAAAAATTTTCCTTTTAGTTTTGGATAGATTAAAGGGTTAAAACTGCTGTCAAGTTTTCTTTGTGCTATCTGTGCCCCATAATAGGGATTTACCTTCACTTGCACAATAATATAACAAAAACTAAATTAGCTCACTGTAAACTCCTGCAGTAGCATCTAGCAAGCAAATGTCTTATGCAGGCTAAACTGGAGGATATGAAATTGATGATTTAAAAATGATTTTTCCTCAAAGCGTTGCAGATCATGGTTACCTGAACAGAAGCCGACCGTATTTGTCTGTTTTGTGGTTTCTGAGATCAGGTCCTGAGGCACTTATAGTTTGAGCCATTAAGTGTTTATAAAGAAAAGCTAATATTAAGTTTCCAAGGTAGGAGTAATAAACATGATTCCTTATATATGGTGTTGAGCTATATCTTCAAAATGTAATATTTTAGGGCTTTCTTATGTCAGACATACAAAGTAAAAACCACATCTGCTGCTAAGAACAATGAGG